GGCTCTGCATTGCACTTGATGCTGAGCTTAAAGAAATGCAAGAGAGACTGGCAAGCAGACATGTGTATGAAGCATCAGGAAGGGCATATATTCTTTCAGGACTAAGCTCACACTCATGGCAGAGAGCAACAGCACGAGGTGACTCGACGGATGGTTCAAGCCTGGTTCAGGCCTATCAAACCCCGTCAATGACCGAGATGCTGAATCGGTCTCAGGCTTCCCTACTAGGTAGTTCTTCAGCTCAGAGGCTCATTCGACCTGTTTTATCATTTGCATCACATCCAAAGCCAAGGTGACCTTGCGACACCAAGATATGGAGTTTTCTCAAAGATAACTGTTTTTCATTGGTCTCCTTGATGCTATAGCTGTGCTTATTTGTGTTTTGGGCCGGGGAAAAGTTAATAGGTAAGAAACAGTTTTGGGTGTCATTATCTTCCTGTCTCAATTATGTAAAGCAATAAACATTGGTGAAGCGTGGAAAGTATAATGGGGTCAAGGTAAGGGGTAAACGGAGTAGGATAATCCAACTTTTGCTTTTTGTTGTTTCTTTTTCACCTTGTGGGTATCATTGGGGGTGGTGTACATAAGGAAAGATGGATTTTCATCTGAGAGAGAAGCCGGTATAAGTTTGTAATTGTGGAAATATTTTGTGAACTGCGCAGCTATTACATAAGAATGTGATTCTTTCACGGAGTTTTAATAATCATGCAGTGGTATGACTGGTACTAATTCTTCAGCCACTTGATAAAATGGACTCTCTCTTTACGCAACTGAGATCATGATAAGCATGCAAAAAGTCACTCAAGATGGTATGGTACTACTATCATGGGATGGAAAAGATGAAACATATATTATTGTTTAATTTTAGGAAAAGATGAACTTCAAAGTTGACCTTCCGTGGAGACTTGTGCTTCTCCTCATTCATTACTAGTCCAGAGAACAAAAGCTAGCACTACAGTGCTTTGACATTGCACCGGATTGTTGCCAAGAAATACACTACTGTACTGTCCTACTGTACTGTAAAAGATGGTGTGGTGCATTATTCTAAACGGTCCATACCCTTTTCCAGCCTCTCAATTGACTTTAAAAACTTTGGGGATTGATAAAGATGGTCATGATCCTTTATTTTTTTCATGATCCTTTATTGATTCACTTTTTTGTTGCATGAAATGTCTCATAACGTAGAAAGCTTTAAAAAAATATTGGGTACTCTTTAGCTTTTTGTTCCGTTACGTCTTTTCATACGATAAGGGGAAATTAATTCTTATCTTTGCCGCGGGCGGGCTCACATATCAGATTATTATGTGCGAGAATAGGCAGCTTTACTGATTGCGAGCAAAGATTGAATATCATCAGGTCAGCAACTGTGGCAATCTCAAAGCTCCAGCTCCAAATTCCAGTGAGAACATGAGTAGAAACCAGGCAAGTTCACCCCAAGTTTCCCAAACATCTCGTGCACCTGTTGACCTTGTCACGGTTCTAGATGTCAGTGGCAGCATGGCAGGTACCAAGCTTGCATTGCTCAAGCGAGCTATGGGGTTTGTGATACAGAACCTTGGTCCCAATGACAGGCTTGCAGTAATTGCCTTCTCATCAACCGCCCGCCGGTTGTTTCCCCTTCGTAGGATGTCTGAAACAGGACGGCAGCAAGCACTGCAAGCTGTTAACTCTTTAGTTGCAAATGGAGGGACAAACATTGCTGAAGGCTTGCGCAAGGGTGCCAAGGTAATGGAAGATCGCAGAGAAAAGAACCCTGTTGCCAGTATTATATTGCTATCTGATGGGCAAGATACATATACAGTTAGTAACATGGGGAGCAGTCAACAGCAACCAAATTACCAACTTCTTCTTCCATTGTCTATCCACAATGAAAGTAGTTCTAATTTTAAGATTCCAGTGCATGCTTTTGGGTTCGGGGCAGACCATGATGCTTCATCAATGCACTCAATCTCAGAGATATCTGGAGGAACCTTCTCTTTCATTGAAACAGAAGGTGTAATCCAGGATGCATTTGCTCAGTGCATTGGTGGACTTTTGAGTGTTGTGGTCAAGGACCTGCAGGTGAATATTGAGTGTGTTGATCCAAGAGTCAGTCTTGGTTCCTTAAAAGCTGGAAGCTACCCCAATCGTGTGATGTCGGATGGATGCATGGGAACTATTGATGTTGGCGACCTGTATGCTGATGAGGAACGAGACTTTCTAGTTTCAGTTAATGTCCCAACTGAAATTTCAAGCTCTGAAACTGCATTGATAAGGGTGAAATGTGTTTACAATGATCCTTTGACAAAAGGCTCGGTGACTGTTGGAAGTGATGAAGTTAGGATTAGAAGACCTGATGAAGCTGGACAACAAAGTGCATCAGTTGAAGTGGATAGGCAACAGAACAGGCTGCGTGCGGCTGAGGCGATGCTCCTAGCGCGAACTACGGCTGAGAAAGGAGACCTGTCTGGTGCAGCATCTATTCTTGAAAACTGTCGCAAGGTGTTGTCAGAAACTGTTTCGGCCAAGTCTCATGATCGGCTCTGCATTGCACTTGATGCTGAGCTTAAAGAAATGCAAGAGAGACTGGCAAGCAGACATGTGTATGAAGCATCAGGAAGGGCATATATTCTTTCAGGACTAAGCTCACACTCATGGCAGAGAGCAACAGCACGAGGTGACTCGACGGATGGTTCAAGCCTGGTTCAGGCCTATCAAACCCCGTCAATGACCGAGATGCTGAATCGGTCTCAGGCTTCCCTACTAGGTAGTTCTTCAGCTCAGAGGCTCATTCGACCTGTTTTATCATTTGCATCACATCCAAAGCCAAGGTGACCTTGCGACACCAAGATATGGAGTTTTCTCAAAGATAACTGTTTTTCATTGGTCTCCTTGATGCTATAGCTGTGCTTATTTGTGTTTTGGGCCGGGGAAAAGTTAATAGGTAAGAAACAGTTTTGGGTGTCATTATCTTCCTGTCTCAATTATGTAAAGCAATAAACATTGGTGAAGCGTGGAAAGTATAATGGGGTCAAGGTAAGGGGTAAACGGAGTAGGATAATCCAACTTTTGCTTTTTGTTGTTTCTTTTTCACCTTGTGGGTATCATTGGGGGTGGTGTACATAAGGAAAGATGGATTTTCATCTGAGAGAGAAGCCGGTATAAGTTTGTAATTGTGGAAATATTTTGTGAACTGCGCAGCTATTACATAAGAATGTGATTCTTTCACGGAGTTTTAATAATCATGCAGTGGTATGACTGGTACTAATTCTTCAGCCACTTGATAAAATGGACTCTCTCTTTACGCAACTGAGATCATGATAAGCATGCAAAAAGTCACTCAAGATGGTATGGTACTACTATCATGGGATGGAAAAGATGAAACATATATTATTGTTTAATTTTAGGAAAAGATGAACTTCAAAGTTGACCTTCCGTGGAGACTTGTGCTTCTCCTCATTCATTACTAGTCCAGAGAACAAAAGCTAGCACTACAGTGCTTTGACATTGCACCGGATTGTTGCCAAGAAATACACTACTGTACTGTCCTACTGTACTGTAAAAGATGGTGTGGTGCATTATTCTAAACGGTCCATACCCTTTTCCAGCCTCTCAATTGACTTTAAAAACTTTGGGGATTGATAAAGATGGTCATGATCCTTTATTTTTTTCATGATCCTTTATTGATTCACTTTTTTGTTGCATGAAATGTCTCATAACGTAGAAAGCTTTAAAAAAATATTGGGTACTCTTTAGCTTTTTGTTCCGTTACGTCTTTTCATACGATAAGGGGAAATTAATTCTTATCTTTGCCGCGGGCGGGCTCACATATCAGATTATTATGTGCGAGAATAGGCAGCTTTACTGATTGCGAGCAAAGATTGAATATCATCAGGTCAGCAACTGTGGCTGAGGGGTTTTCACTCTGGATTTAAGGTCCACGGGAGTACCTTCTTGTCACCAATTGATTGGATGGACGTTTCTTATGGATCTCTCTTAGATTGCCTTCGGATCGCTCTTTCGAGTTACTCTCGTATTTGTTCTAATTGAGTGAGTGTGTATGTTTCTTTCAGTTCCCGGAAAAAACAAACCCATTAATTTGGTGAGGGTGTGCACGAAAGATTGGGTTACCATCCAATATCGAAAGATCGTGGGGTCTTCACTCTGGATTTAAGGTTCATGGGAGCACCTTCCTGTCACCAATTGACTGGATGAGTGTTTCTTGTGGGTTTCCCTTAGATTGTTTTGTTTTTGGGTTACTCTTTCGGATTACTCCCGTATTTGTTCTAATTGAGGGAGTGTGTGTTTCTTTTAGTTCCTGGAAAAAAAAAAAGCAACTGTGGGCTTATTACACGACGTGGTTTGCAGAAACTTCTTTGACAGACTATATATATCGTGTAGTGTAGTGTACACTCTCAAAGGGAAAAAAAAAAATTTTTTTGGGTGCACTACAAGAATAGCTTGCTTTAGTACTACGTAACAATAACAAATTTTCATAGGTTTTATGGCCTAATAGTCGTTTGAAACTTTTTGGGCATATCCCAATGCCAAAGCATTTCCTTTCTTGTACAAACTTGTTACTTTTCAGGACACGATAGACACAAAGTAGTTTTGGCTAACAAGTCAAAGGGACAGAAGAATGGTTGCAAATTTATGCTTTTAAAAGTTCAAGTAGCTAAAAAAAACACACTTCATTGTTGCAAATTCAGCCTTAAGTTTGATGGCCCCATTGGTGGTTTGCCCGAAAGAAATTATTCTCCACCTCCAGAGGAGAACTCCGAAATACGCCCAGGCCAAAACAAAAGGGAGCCGCATCAACTTCATTACTTTTTTTTTTTTTTTTTTGGCTCATGCTGCCTGGTTTACATATGAATTCCATGTTATACATGCATCGGAGAGAGTCAAGAATTCATTTTTACTGCAACAATTGAATTAATCCATGAAAAAAGATCAAAGAATGCTCTTTCAAAATAAGTTCGTACACCAACCGATGCTAAAAATGTAAAAGAGGAAGCAAAAAGTTCAAGAAGACCATAGCCATTTTCATTTCGGAACAGCCATATTCATCATTCGGGAATTTTCCTGGGTTAAGTATACACAAAACTAAATGAGCGCAAAATGAGACAAAGCAACATAAATATGTAAGCTTCGACTAGAGTCCACCAACATCAGCCTTTATATAACCATGACTGACTAAAATGTCAAAAGGCTGCAAACAGAATTCCTCAAATCCACTAATTCCTAATCGTAGTCTGGTTTAGGTACAACATTGATGCTGAGATTTTGAGCAAAACGGAATACTATTTCAAGTTGAAACAGAATGGTTGCAAAATTTGAACACAAAGCCTAATGAAGCTTTTTTGCTTCATGTGCTTTCCTTAGGCTTGGGGATCCTCTTATACTCATAGCTGTTGATGTCAACCTTTTCTTGCAAAGCCTGCACCGAAGACAAATACGTAAAAAGATTCACAACTCAACATGGACTTTGATATTAAATAAAATTTGTCTACCTTAAGCTCTTCCTCCAGTGAAATCTTTTTAGGGTTGTAGGCATTGACTGGCCCAGTTCTTGATAGCGCTTTTCTTGTCTCAATGATCTCCCATTCTTGATCATCCTTCACTTTAGCAATATCCTTGCTGAACTACAAAAATTAGCCCATTAATTTCAGCTTTTGAAGGAAAAGATAAAAAAAAGCCACAAAGAACATGCTATTGTCTCTAGGACAACATCTGCAGTGCAAATCCCTGAGCAACTGCAATTTGGAACTCAGAATCCGTTGCATGTGTCCCCATGCAAACAATTTTCCTATCATGCACGGATCAGAACTCAAGAAAGTGACTCACACTGACAAAAAGGGCGTGGGGGTTTACATATCAAAATTTTCACTCTCAAGCTAAGTTCAATCTAGACTTAAAAGTCTTCCTGTTTCAGAAGTTACAGTAGTATATCTTCCAAAATATTTTCGTGTTTGTCTAACAGCATCCACTATGCAGCTTTAGCTTCGTCACTTGAAGACAGGAAACAAACTTGCTATACATTAGTGCTCTCTGGTATTTGATCAATAATTGAGCCAGAACCACTGAAATATGCCTAATTACAGGATGCTTGGGTGTTGTACTGTTAACATTTCTAGAGCTAACACCAAAACATTGACAACATCAAGAATCCCAGTGATGACTCTTTGGAGGATCCCTGCAGCATACACAAGGAAATCGACATTTGGCACTGACCTTCCTTGCAGCAGATAGCCGAGACCGAGTGTCCCTAACACAGTAAGTGAGATCATAGGTAGACCATATCTTATAAAGGGTGATGCCCTGCCCATTCTTTTAAACCCTGCAGGTGGATTTTGCAGCTTTGCTTTCTTAGGTTGACCCGTAGTTGGCTGAACAGTTGTCATTGCCTCCAATACTAACACTGCCTACACTTGCACCATCCAAGTCATCAACAAATGCACGCATGAGAGTGATATACATAACAAGGAAAATGAGCTCAAACCCCGTTCTTTCCAAAGTAAGAATGAGCTTATTTCAATTTCATGGCCGCTTTAAACAATGAGTGGCATTCATAACGAGGACAACAGTTTCGATATCAAGAACATCTTGCTTTTCGGACATTATGAAGTATTAAAACAATCATAACAACTATTAACTTGCTAAATCAAATTTGATAACGTCGATCAGGCATTCATGCTATATCCCAATCTTGTTTAGACGAAAAGACAAGCACATGGTGGGCAGCATTGACACCCCAAGACAACCCAAGAACCTGACTCTTAGGACAAGTAACCCAAGCCAAAGTGATAGGATTTTACAACACGGGAATGTTCCAAAGTCTACAAATACAAATGATTCCGCAAAAAGGAATTGATTCTATGGAAATGAAATACTACTCAGCTGACATACTATCAAAATGAAGATTTAGGGAGGAAAGAGAAATTACCTCGGAATTTAGACAAAAATTCAGCACTGAAATGCGAACCTCTCCCAAAAGAAGATGATGAGATGATAGCTTGATCAATTGATGAAGTGTTGCTTTGGAAAAAAGACCAGAATTTCAAAATTTGTCTAGAAAGAAGGGGAACAAGAGGGCTTTCCAATATAGCACAAATTGGAAATCATCCTAATTTGGAAGAAGAGGGTTTGAGAAACAGTTATGAAAGTTGAGGAAACAAAAGCACAGGGAAAGAGGGAAATTTTGTGTTGAGGCCCTTTGAAGTTGTGACAATTATGTAAGCAGCCCATCTATTTCCAACACTGTACTACAACGAGGCTAATTTGGCAAACTCGATATCAAATGCCATGAATGGTCCAAATGCCACTTGAAGCTAGACTTGATATTCGTGGGAAAAAAAAAAAGTTATTCGTGATAAGAGTCAGTTTTAACTATTTTGAATTCTATTGGTCATTAGCCGCTTTACTAATAAAATAAAATTACCTTAATCGTAACTGGTGAAGAGTGATAACTTGCAAGAAGAATACATGAAATTGCATGAATACAAAAAATGTTGAAGTAAATGAGTTTTTGTTATTATGTATTTTATTCAAGGAATCGACATTGATTTTCTGCCCACCTTCGTTGATAGTAATGATTCAAATATGTGACTTACAAATTACAAATGAAATATCTTACTATTTAAGATACGTTTTGTTGTCGAGTCCCCTGGTCATGAATATAATTTATCCTTTATAATGTTTCTTTTGGTCCTCTTAAATTCTGTCAGCTTTTATTTTAAGTTTGTATCTCTTTATAAGATACTACCTTGGAACCCTTTCCCCTTCTCAAGCTGTATATTTTCCCTAATCCTTTAAAGAGGAGTCAAAGAAATCATGACTTCAACACAAAATCGATTGAAAATAATTGATTGGCTCAACTAATCTCAATCACTCTTTTGTCACAGGTTCTACTCTTGATTATAGTGGTTACATTGTGGCTAATCTTTTGTGCAATCGAGTAAATTAATGTTCAAAGGTCCCATGCACTAATCAAGCCTCATTTTTGCACCATCTTGTTCCCTCAATTACTAGATACATTAGGTGCTCGTGTCAACATGAGCTTCATATAGACATGTATAGTAGATCCAGCTCCTAAGACGAATTATTCCTATAATTAACTCTCATGTTGTGAAATTAATAAAATAGACTATCAAAGTAAGGATTGAAATAGTAGAGCGAAGAGAGATAGAAGAACTATAGTATTATTATCTTTTTTTTTTATTAAAGTTCTATCAGGTTTCAAGATTACAAAAGAAGTAAGATTCACCCCTATATATAGGTAATCCAAGATCAAGGGTACATGAACCCTATTAAATACTAATACATGAATTTAGTACTTCAAGTACATCCATAAATGGGTTCATCAAATATACCAATGAATCTAGGGAGAATACAAGTATTTATTTACTTGAGAATACAAACGGATATTCACATATTGTAATCCTTATTGAGAATATCAACGGACATCCACATCTTGTCATTATTTCATAACATCCCCCTTTGAATGTCTATTACACAAAAAATATATCTCGTTAAAATCTTACTAGAAAAAAATCTAGTGGGACAAAAATCCTAATGAAATTAAAAAAAAAGTACACTATTCTTGTGTAATAAATTCTCCCCCTGATACAAACACTATATGAGATCTTTTAGCTGACGCATTCCAATATTCTTCACCAGTTTCCCAAATGTAGCAGTCGGCAATACCTTTGTAAACATACCTGTCAAATTATTATCCGATCGAATTTGTAACACATCAATCTCACCATTCTTCTGTAAATCATGAGTAAAGAAGAATTTCGATAAAATGTGTTTCGTCCTATCTCCTTTAATATATAATCCCTTTAATTGAATTATACAAGTTGCATTATTTTCATATAAAATTGTTGGAGGATTTTCCTTCTCGGAGGAAAACCCACAACTCTTTCGAATGTAGTGGGTCATTGATCTTAGTTAAATACATTATCGACTGACCTCATGAATTGCTATTATTTCAGTATGATTTATGAAATGGCAGTTAAGGATTGTTTTGTAGAATGCCAAGACATTGCTGTTCCGCCACAAGTAAAGAGATAGTCAGTATGAGATCGTACTTTATGTGGGTCAGATAAATACCCAACATCAGTATATCCAAGCAACTCAGACTTAAATTTACTTGAATAAAATAAATCAAGATTAATTGTTCCTTGGAGATAGCGAAAAATGTGTTTAATATCATTCCAATGTCGTTTTGCAGACGAGGAATTAAATCTTGCTAATAAATTCACAACAAATGATATATCTGGCCTTGTACAGTTAGCAAGATACATAAGTGCACCAATTGCACTGAGATATGGTACTTCAAAATCAAGTATCTCTTCATGTTCCTCTCGTGGTCTAAATAGATCCTTATTAGGATCCAATGATGTGACGACCATTGGGGTACTTAATGTATGTGATTTATCCATACGAAATCGCTTTAATACCTTCCGGGTATAAACAATTTGGTGGATAAAAATTTCACTTTCTAAATATTCAATTGGTAAATCAAGGCAAAATTTTGTCTTTCCAAAATCATTGATGTCAAATTCTTTTTTCAAATATTCGACAGCCTTTTTGATCTCTTCAAGAGTTTCAATCAAATTGAGATCATCAACATATATAGCAATAATCATAAAATTTGACCCATTTTTCTTGATTAAAACACATGGACATATTGGGTAATTGGTATAACATTCTTTAGTTAAGTAGTCATTAAAACAGTTATCCACATACGTCCAAATTGCTTGAACCCATACAAAGACTTTTGTAATCTAATAGAATACACATCTATAGGATTTGATTTACATGCTTCAAGCATGTTGAATCTTTTAGGGATTCTCATGTAAATATCATTTTCAAAATTTTCATACAAATAAGCAGTGACAACGTCCATTAGACGCATATAAAGTTTTTCATACACTGCAATACTCACAAGATACCTAAATATGATCGTATCCACTACAGGTGAATACGTTTCATCATAATCAAATTTAGGCTTTTGTGAAAAATCTTAGGCTACAAGTCCTGCTTTATATCTCACAATTTCATTCTTTTCATTCCTTTTCCTCACAAAAATTCATTTATATCCAACTGGTTTTATATCTTCAGATGTTTGGACTACAGGTAGGGGTAGCGCGCGGGTCGGGTACTCGCCCTATTCACCATTTGGCTTACTCGACCCGCACCTTGCAAGTCAGCCATTTTTTGACCCTTATTCGCCCCACATAATAGGGTACCCGCTAAGATAGGGTTGGGTAACAGGTACCCGCCCCCGCCCCATTTATCATTTAATTTAAAAAAAATAATTTATACCAATTTAATTTTATAATTTACACATTCGTCTAAGATTTAAGAAATATTTTTTTTAAAAAAAAAGTTTTCTACCAAGAAATAAGCATGTGAAGAAAATATAAGATAAAGGAAAAAAATTAAAAGAATTCGAAATCAATAAATGTTTGAAATTAGTAGCACAATTTTTAATATATATGTTCCACATTAATTAAACTTTTTCTATAAAATATAAGATCATGGTCTCTACAAATGAATCTTGTAAATAAACTATAGTCTCTCATATTTGTAATGCAATTTGTTCAATAAAATTACTTATTTAGTTCTTATTATTTTATAGTGTGTGTATAAAAATAAAAATAAAATAAAAATATATATGCAGGGGGGATCGGGTACCCGCGAATTTTTAATTATGTGACCCTAACCTGTCAACATCTTAGCGGGTACCCGACCCTCTTTTGATCCGATCAAATAATAAAAATCGGATATCCTAATTTTCGGATCGGATATGACGGATTTTCGGGTTAACGGATAATTTTTCTCACCCCTAACTACAGGTTCAAAAACTTTCCTTTTAACCAGTGAATTTAATTCAGATTGTATCGCATCTTTTCATTTCGGCCAATTATTTCTATGCCGGTATTCATTAACCGATTTAGACTCATGATTCTCGTCATCTATCATAATATCAAGTGCTACATTATATGCAAAAATACTATCAACAATTATTTCTCTTCGATTTCAACTTTTTCTTGTAATGACAAAGTTTACCGAATTTTAATTTCATTCTCTTCAGAAATTGACTTTTCGAGAGTTGGCTCTTCGAGAGTTGGTTCTTCAGGAACGACCTCTTTAGGAGATTAAATTTTGTCACTAATTATTGATTCATTTGATCCTTTTTTATTTCTAGAATTTTTATCTTTAGAATCAAGAGGTCTCCCACGCTTCAAGCGTGCTTTAGATTCATTAGCACTTGTGATTTATCTTTCAGGGATATTTATTTTAATCGGAGTATTTTCAGCAAGAATATGTGATTCGGTGACTCTAGAAGAGTCACCAAATGCATTCGGTAATTGATTTGTAATATTTTGCAAATATATGATCTTTTGAATTTCTAATTCACATTCTTTTGTTCGAAGATCCAAGAAATTCAATGAAATTTTTCAAATAATTTTCTTTTTCGAAATTTCCTTTTTCAGTTCATCTGTTCCTCCTATAATGTCGAAAAATGTGATTCATCAAAATGACAATCTATAAATAGTGTAGTAAATAAATCACCTGTCAATAATTCAATATATGTAACTATAGGAGGTGATTCATACTCGACATATATTCCCAATCGTCTTTGGGGGCCCAATTTATGACGTTGGGACGGTGCAATTGGAACATAATTCGCACATCCAAATATTCGTAAATGAGAAATATTGGACTCAAAACCAAATACTAATTATAGGGAAGAATAATTATGATAACTAGTCGGCCTGATTCTCACAAGTATTGTTGCATGTAATATAACATGTCCCTAAGCAGATAAATGAAGCTTAGACCTTATCAACAATGGTCTAGCAATTAATTGTAGTCTTTTAATAAATGATTCGATTAGACCATTTTGTGTGTGAACATAGGCTACAGGATGTTCAACAGATATCCCAATAGACATGCAATACTCGTAAAAAACATGTGACGAATATTCACCAGTATTATCTAGACGAATTCTTTTAATAGGATAATTAGGAAATTATGCTCGTAATTTAATTATCTGAGCAAACAATCGCGCAAACACTATGTTGCGAGTAGATAACAAACATACATGTGACCATCTAATTGATGTATCAATTAGCACCATAAAATATCGAAATAGTCCACATGGTGGATCTACAAGTCCACATA